TTATTCACAAGTGAGATAATATACTAGAACTAGAATAATATATTTTCGAAACAAAATAAATAAAATATATATATATATATATAAATTTTTTTTATAAGATTAAATGAAACCGATAATAAAGGTATAATACCATGGGTTTGTGGTACTTTTACTCTTCACTTGCCACAAAATGCAGGACAAATGCCTATGTTCACAGCACAAGTGGTGTTTAGGTATCCATTAGTTGGAAAAATTATATTCCGTCAGCCAAAAAACAATCCTGAAGCTGATACAACTATTATTATCGAAAACCTAGTTCATGCCGATGGTAGTGCGCTAAATAATTCAGCCGAGCATAGGTAATAAATGCTAGATATATTTGAAAATAAAAGTCACGATAATGATTATACAATATCAATCATTTCCAGATGGATGATACACGATAATCCTCCTGGTAAAGATTATTATAATTGGACTGGCAGATGTTTAAGCGCTGGTGGTCCTTATAATCCTCACAAAGTAATAATTATAGTCAAAAATAATTTATTTTCAAGTAAATATTATAAATAACAGAGTATAAATATTTACTAGATAGATTGGGATCCTAATCATCCGGAACATTGTTCAACGGTTGAAATTTCGTTATGTCGACTAGGTGATCTCACGAGACATGGCAAACTTGAAATTGCTGGAAAAAAACTTTATGGACCTCTCCTAACTCGAAAGCTTTTTACAGATACGATGTTGCCGCTTTCTGGACGAAATAATATTTTAGGAAAAAGTTTAGTCATTTACGATGATCATGGACCAATTGCAAGAGGAGAAAGACTTGCTTGTTCGATGTAATTAAACTAAAAATTTCATTGATTCAATTTATGTTATAATAAAAAATAAAATATTTTTTACAGCATCGGTGGATTATATCGATTAAAGGCAGTTGCGAAAGATTGGTTTGGTAATGGTGAACCCATTGATATACGAGGAAAATTAGAGTTCATTCAACAAAGCGAGTATGACGTTACGGACATTGAAATCAATCTTGAAGGACTTGGTGGAAAAATGAGTGGATATCACATACACATGGTAATATATTTTTAATATAAATCTTAAAAGAAATAATATTAATATTTCAAATATTTTAAAATTGCAGGCTCCAGTAGAAATAGACTTAGAATTTCCTTGTGAAGCTATATCTTTATATAATTATTGGAATCCTTTGGGCGTAAATTCAAGTAATGTTCCAGGATCTAGAGAAGGTACATCGGATCAATATGAAATGGGAGATCTGAGTGGAAAATTTGGTACTCTGGATAATAGAAAAAAATATACAACGAGTTACAACGACACGTTGCTTCCATTGTTCGGACCTAGAAGCATTCTTGGCCACAGCATAGTGATTCATAAAAAAGAAAAAAATATCAGGTAAAGTATTAGAAATAAAATAGTATACGTAATAACATTATTTATTATTGTAGATACGCCTGTTCTACGATAGAAAGGGGATATGCACCATCCGAAGCGATAGAATTACGAGCAATTGCTTCGTTTCATCATCCACAAGGATTTGCATTCGGATATATTAAAATGGTATATTATTAGAAAATAAAAATTATAATTTAATGAATAAATTACAATATGCTCGTTATTATAGTCACAGCTGATATATAAAGATGGTAGTCAAAGTGAGACAGTGATCGAAGTCAAACTACGACATCCAGGGAGTCATGATCGTAATATTGTAATAGCATAACATTAATTTTTCTTTTCTTCATTCTAAAAAATATATTTTACAGCATAATATTTAAATTATTTTATCTAACAGACAAGAAATCACAATTGGGCTATATATGTTAATCCTGTTGGAGTGGATGCTGCTGTAAAAGTAAAAGATACTAGATGCGTCGCAGGTGGATATCCATGGAATCCATATTTCACTCAATTAGCGGATCCTTTAAATGTAAAATCATATTTATTTTTTTTTGTTCACATATTGCAAATTATCTATGTGTATTGAATAATAGCAATAATTCGAAACAGGAAGATCTATACAGACAAGAGTGCGGTCCTGATTTACCTTTAAGATGTCAAGTAGGAGACATTTCATCTCGTTTGGGACCAATTAATATAGGAACGGAAAGACGAGTTTTTACAGATCCAAATTTTCCATTAGATGGATCGGTTTCAGCGATGGGAAAATCAATTGTTATTATGGATAAAGATTTGGGGAATAGCAGATTTGCTTGTGCTAATATCGAACCAGATAATGACATAGTAAAATATGCCAATATAAGGAAACCACCTCGTTTCGTTGTGTAAATATACTTTATAAAAAGAAATTCAATCTAAAGTAATAATTATTTTTAAAAATTCAATATACTATTTTTTTTTCCTTTTAGAGCACAATTCTTAGAAGATGTAAGAAAAGTAATGGGTATTCCTGAATGGATGTTATCCATTGATAGTAGGAAAACTAAAATATTACATAATGGAGCTTGTATTCAATTTTTGTTACACTTTAAAGGTTTGTATCGATTTGTTTTTTGTTCAGAGATATCACATATTATCTTATTTATGTAAATATATGTTTTTTTATTTTTAGGTCCAATAGCTAATAAATTAGAACAGGATTTCAGTAAATTAATATCGACGGGAAAATTAGAAGCTCCAAGTTTATACATACCAGGTTATATACCGTTGAAAAGAAAAGCAACATTAGGGCATCGACAATGTGGAGTACGAGATCCTAATGACAAAAGTATGAAAAATAATAAGTACATTAATTAGTACTTATATTACATAAATTAATAATAATTAAATGTTTCAGATTTAAATTTTTTTAAAAACAGTTCTATTTCACGTGTATCAACATTGTTTACGACATTCCTATTAGTCTTTATAAATAGACTAATTTAATCAAAAATATTGCGATTTTATTCGTTAATATTATTTTTTTATAAGTTGTAAATAAATAAATTAGAACATATTGTTTATAAATTCGATAATGTTGGAAAAAGAAAAAATTATATTACGCGCCAAGTAAATATTTCAATTGATTAACAAAATCGATGGTAATATTGACCAATCCTTTTCAAGTAACCTCACGGTTCATTTTGAAACATAACTTATATTTGCAATAGATTGATTAATAATATATAAATATTATGAAATATGTAAGAAAAATGAATATGTAAGAATTAGAGTGACTTTGATAGATGATAAGTTAGCCTATCGTTGGTTTTCAAACAAATATCATAGGACGGGGCAGTGATAGCGATCATGATAGTAAACAATATGCGTACTATATATATATATATATATAATAGATAATATTTATATATATATTTCTATTAAATAAGCAAAAAAATATCCATAAAATATAAGCAAGGCTATAAGAAAACATGCATTCGTTTGTTGGAAATATAAGTATGCAGAATAAAGATATTTATTAATTTGTATTTATTCTATTTAATATTAGTTATTAGCTATCATTTAAACGAATTTTTATTAAATTATCCCATGAGAGAGAATTACATGCCTCTAAGAGATATTAAGATATGGGAATAATTTACTCATCTGCATAAAGTTGTTACCTGTTCTATAACTTTTTAAATAACGATTAAAAAAATTTAAATTTTTTCAGTGATAAATCCGTTATAAATAAAAATACTTATCCCATATTTAATAAATGATGTTAATAATATTACCGAAAACAGTGATGTTCGTATGATAATAATAGTTATTGTATTATAGGCCTTTGTAAATATATGACGATATCAATATTAATATTAACCACTCATATGTCAAAAAATTTCACAAAACAAGAAACAGAAAAAATTGTCACATCATTTATCATTGAATAGCCTCAAAAATTAATTTCATTTAGAGATATTAAGCATAATTATTAAGAAAATATATTCGAAATATACGAAAGTTATTAAGTTAAGTACTGAGTAAATATTTTGATAATAAAATATAAAAATATCCTGAAAATAGAATTGATCACTTTAATCTATGAATGGCTTATACATTGATATCGCATCACACATTAACTATCTTATATTGATATTTTCGAAGACATTTATAATATACTCAATATACGTACTTCAGCTACAGATGCTTGACTGAGGCACAGGTGGTATATTATAAGAAATGGAAAACCTTTGATGCATGCAATTACATATTTTTTGAAAAGATCGAGCACATCCATTAAACATCATATTTAAGTATAATTTTTCTAAAAGCATTAATTTCGAAAATATTGAACACAAATGTATCTATAAAGAGGCACCTCATCACTTTTTCTCTCATAAAAATATGTATTGTATTCAGTTTATATGAAATCATGTTTTGTTTATTTTCAAAGATGAAATTGTTTATTTTTGTAATAAATGAAATCTTAAAAACTTCACTATAAAAATAACTTTGTTATTTATATTGCATTCGTTACCTATATACAGAATGTTACCATGATTATTATGTTTTACTTCCTAATTTTTTCAGTTTAGAGTATATTTTATAAACTTTTTAATATGTCTGCATATAAACTATTATATTTTGTATGTATGATTAATTTTATTATTACGTGTGTTTATAATAAATTATTATATATTGTTCAATATATATATATATATATATATATAATACGAAGAGGCTCTAGAAAACTCTGGAAGTATTGCTTATCTATTTCTTGCATACTGGTTCATTTGTTAATAATAATCATCGTTTCTATGGTCAATTATGTTTTGTAACAATGTAAGATTTGTATATATATATATATATATATATATTTTATAGATCATATTTAGGGTTATGCGTTATTCGCAACAATTTAAAAGTAATATGTCTTCATAGATGAAATATTTACTCTGTATCTAAGATATCTGTACAATGAGATGTAAAATTATTCTATAATACGTTTTATACAAAACTGATGATAAAATAAGAGAAATCATTATTGAATATATGTATACATAGACCAGTCCTTTCTACAGATAATTTCTTTAAAAATAAATACTGAAAACAATTGCTTGTTTGATATATGAAAATATAAATATTTATCTTTAAAAATATTTAAAAGTTTAGTAAGTAAATTATTCATTGCTGTATTAGGAACATAATACAAATAAGTAATACCACAGCAATAACTAAAAAAAGACTATAAATTTGATGTCATAGATATCTTAAATAATCTACATAGTTTTTGTAGATTTGAACGTCTATATTCCAACTTGCATAATTAATAATTGCACTAAATTTCCGTATGATCACAAATTGCTTTATGTATAGTAATTTTACCATACAAAAATTATAAAGCGTAGTGCTATTTTCTGTATAAGCAGCTTATATAGCTGTATGAAAATATGTCTAATGTTAAAAAACAATAGCACACTAATTTGGTCATAATAAAGAGATACAATTCATTTCCATAATAATTTATCACTTAGATTGTAAATTTTCTTCTTCATCATCACTATAATCATCGCTTAAATATTGAGTACTTTGTGATAATTCGTAGCGTCCAGTCTTTTTTGGTGGAGGACTGCAATGCATAATATTGTTTATTACTATAAATTCATAATAAGTAATTTTTATATAATATTCTTATATAAATATGTTATTGTTAATGTACAGATTCCAGGAATTCTATAGTCTACCCGGGAAAAAAAATTCCATAGAATATTTACTAAGATTACACAATGTATATTTTGATCATGTTTTTCGTACATTGCCCGGTCAATCTATAGAATACCCAGAGGATTTTGATTAATCTATAATATATACTTCAGTTGGTTGTGTTTATAACATTGAGGAGGGGTGGAAGCATTTTAAAGCTTTAGTAAGTGAAATAAACAAATGAAATTAACAAATTTTTACACAATATCAGTAACAAATTTCGATCAATTTTTAAAATGTACTTCAATGTGCTTTTTTTTCTCCAAAACTTGTTATTGATATGATAAATACATAAAAAAAAAATGCTGTAAATTTTGAGCTGTAAATTTTGAGCTGTTAATTTTAATATTAACACGCTTTCCAGAGTCGTCAAAGTTTTTAATGGAAAATGTATGCAATTTTTTTCCATAATGCTTATAAAAATCATAACTCTGATAAAAATTGATGAATCTGTTTGAAATTTGGTACAGTTGTAGATTATAATATTCGGAAAAAAATAAGAAAATTTCATCAGTTTTATTGAGTTAATATATAAGAAAGTAATGTACTTAAAAATTTTTAATGTTGAAAGATTGTTCCAATTAATAGCTCAAAATTTACAAGAATTTGTTTTTTTATGAGAATTTATTTTTTTTTATTTTTTTTTATTTAGAAAGATATTTAAGGAATGGGAAAAGAAAAGTCCAAATGATTTTTGACGTGAAATGCCCCATATATACATTACTAAATTAAATTTGAAATATCATTATCAAAAAACCTTGTTTGGTCCTCATCGTTGTTGCTACTATTACTACCATTTGGACTGCCATCTCTTTTTGGACTTGCTGGAGGTGAAAGTGCTTGCATTAAACGTCCTTTACTTTCATTCCAAATTGTTGACTGTAAAAAAAAAAAAAAGAAGTTAAAATCAAAGGTAAAATCGCATATTTATCAATCAAAACTAGCACTGTTTTTCTTTTTCATTGTTTTACTACTATATAATATTTAATTATATAATATAAGTACTATAATAAATACCAAATTTTGTCTGAAATATTTTATTTTATTTTCACATTCACAATGGTATGCAATGAAATTGAAATAAGAGATCTTCAAAGGTGTAACTTTTCAAAATCATTATTCATCTAGGAATAAAAAAGAATTCATTTGTACCGTTATATCAAGTATTTTTTATTCCTTTTGTGAACATGCTTTATGTTGATTTATTTGGATAAAATATATAGTAATAATGAAGATAATTCCTAGGAAATAAATACTACCCACCAATCTTCCTTCCCTTCCGAATAATAAAAGAAATGCATCAATGAAGTCTCGTGATTTTTCCTCCCATTTACTAATCATGTCCATACGTTTTTCACCTATATTTTCCATAACTCGTTTACCCTTATCTTTAAGATCATCAAATTTATTTTGTAACCGAAATTTCTTTTCCTAAAATAATAAATTTTTTAATTAGACTCAGTAATTGTTAAATATAATAATACCCCTCACAAATTACTTACGTTAAGGAAAGAAACATTGAGTTCTTTGGCACTGTAACCTCGTGCTAAATTTCTTCTTACATAAATATCATAATCCTTAACAATTCTTGCTACAATATCTGATGTAGATACCCCTTCTGTCCTTTGTGTAGCTACAAACATACCTTTAGCTTTTAATGCTGCATAAACATCTGAACCATCATCTGTCATATAAGGTATGTCATCGTGAGCTACAAAATCGATCTATAAAAATAATCGATTACAATTTTGATATGAATGGAAATATCAAGTATAGATTGATATTATGTACATCATATATTAAAGACATAATTTTTACTTTATATGATATATAAAAATTCTTTTGAATAATAGATTAGTTTAAACTTACTTTATGTTTCTTGATGAAATTATCATCTAATTCCCATGGAGCATCTTTTACAACTTCATCCACATAGCGACAATGTCTTACTGCATCATACCTTTCAGCATCTGTCATCACAGTTCTTCCTTTTTTGCTATGTGTTAATTCATCATTGCAAACTATCAAATAAAAAAGAAAGAATAAAAAATGATAATTTCTACAAATTTATGAAAAATTTTTAAGCAAAATTTAAAATCTTACACACCTCCAACAATGAGATAAACATTTGGGAATATATTTTTAGCTTGTAGTAATTGTCGAGCATGTCCTTGATGAAAAAGATCATATATACCATCAGCATATACTCTAACTCTTCTAGGTGCTACAAAATATATTATATTAACAATTATTGTATAGTAAAAAATTATGATAATAGCATAATTTATATTATGACGTGAAAGTAATATTACATAAATATTTATATAAGAGTTTATTTTTCATAACTCTTATCATTATAAATTTTATTCCTTTAAATAATAAATGATCAATAAATATTCTTATGAACAAACCTTTCCCACTACGTGCCATCCTCAATGTGATTTGAGTATTGTAATCACATGCATCTCTTTCAGTAATGGCTTCTGGATCATCACTGAATGGAGCCTCTTTACAAATTGACTGAAATATATTTTGTTATAATCTCTAAATTTATGTAACTAATAATGTAGTTGAAAAGTTTTTCTATGTGAAACAATTAAAATTTCAAAAGTTTTAAAGATTAAAAAAGATAAAATTTATAATGAAAATTCTAATTCGCGTGTTTACTAAAAATTCCATACTGTTATTATATCTGTTATCATAATATTTTTTATTTCCTTAAACCATTGTATCAAACAATTTATCTTCGAATAATACTTTTATAGTAAATAATTTACTTCGTTTAATACATTTATTAGATAAAATAAAATGTTTCATATAAAATTTAAAAATGTTTAATTAAAGATTAACAAATCTATATTTAAACTTTATCGCGTTTTTTCAGTTTACTCAGTATTACAGTACTTGTTGACATCGACTTTTTAAATTTCATGGTAGGCAGTCTCTGTTACTAAAGTAAGGAATTTCCAGCTTTTATATCAAATCAGATATGTCAATGTTACGATGTTATGTTCATAATGTTATCAGTTAGAATTAAGTTATATGTACATTGTGGATTGTGTAAGATATAATGTATATGATTTCGATTATAAATAGTGTCAGTTGTATGAAGTACATATGTGAATGTATGTAATATGTTTAAATGCAAATGAATTGATTATATATCATTAATTTCTTAAAATAAATTTATATATAAGAATCATTTTATATTTTAAAATAAGAAATTCAATGTGTTCAATTGAAGAAAATCGATCTTGTATGTGTACAGTTACAATAACAGTTGAAACGTTATATAAAATATGTATTACTTACAGGATTGATGGGAGAATCTTCTCTAGAGGATGTGCTTTCTCCATTATGATTATTTGTATACGATTCAGAGTTCAACATAGTTTCCTCTCTACAACGCTTCCTTGACATGATTTTATAATAACAACTTTAAACCCATAAAGTGTCCTTTGTGCTATAATTAAATAACACGCATTCATGTGTATATTATATCTGATATTTTAAAATTGTACATGAATTAATGAAAAATCATAATGATACAAAGCCGTATTAGTTCGTAAATTATTAAGTATAGTAAATAATAAAAATAATTATTAATACATATTACATACAAAGCCATGTGAAAATATATAGTTAACTGACTGATAATTAATTTAAAATAAAACAGATACATATGTTTCTATCTACAATTGAGTTGTTTACGTAATGGCATACCTGTGCACACATGCAGGACGCTTTATATATTATATTCTGTGCACAAATAAGTTTGTACACAAAAAGGGCAGCCATGAATATGTATAGTAACACCACTGAAAAATATATCTAATATTCAATATATTGAATTTATTATAAATTTAAAATGTATAGTATATAATGAGTTACACACATATTTTTCGTCACTTTTTCAAATAGAGTAACTATTTTTATAAATTAGGCCAAATGTTTTTTAGGCATAGAAAAATTGTATGATATGTGTATATATGTATAAAATGATACTGATAACGTAAAGAAAATATTTTTTTATTGTATATATATTTTTTATTAAGAACTTTTATTAAAAAAAAAAAAAAAGAAAAAACGAATATACTTGATAAAAAGCTTGAAGAGTATTTATATTTTTTATTACTGGTATAAAAGAAAGATATTCTTTTTAATTATATTTCATATACGTAATATGTTAATATCTTTATACCTATTTTGGAATTTTTGTTTAAAATTGTTATACTCAGAAATAATTATTATATTTAAACAAACCTTTTAATATTTCTATGAATGATTTCAATTATATTCATATAGCTATTAAATGCAGATTTATAAACTACAGAATAATATATATGTATATGTATGTATATAATATTATAAATAATTCCGTTTAGATGTATAAATGCATAATGAAAATAATACAATATAGAATTTTACGTATATATATAGGCTTTATATATAATATGATACTCATCTAGTTTATCTCGTTTTTATCTCTTGTGAAAAATATAGTAATCCTTATGTTTAGATTAATTTTTTTTTATATATTATAAATTTGTTTATTTTGCTTATATTAAATAAATTCTATATTAATGACCCACTAGTATGAATCCTAAAATGACTAATGAAGTTGTGCATTCAACTTTGTTATTAAAATATGTTTATTTTTTAATTTCTATTTGTAATAATCTTTAAAGGTATGCGTGTACAGTTTTAATGATAGAGACATGACGTGTAAGTTGAAAGAAAACGGAAGAGAAGAAAAATCAAACCGTTAGAAATAAAAGAACAATGCAGCTACACATCATAAGATAGCTATGGTGCTTGTATATTTAATGGTTATGTATTATCGGTATTTTACGATTACCGTATAGAATTTTATTAATGATTCTAATTTAGTTTCATCGTAACTAACGAAAAATTTTTTCTCTTTCTCTCTTTCTTTTTCTTTCCCTATATATTCATGTATTACTAACCTTTCAACGCCCTAATTTTCCAGTCGTAATTTATTGTATTTGATTAATTTTTAGTAGATATGGACAATTTTTGGAAAATATGAAACGTTCAAAACTATTTTTTCGAAAAATATTTTTAAAAAGAGTTGCTACAAACACTTTTTATTTAATTCGTCGAAAATCACAATTTCTTTTCTTTTTTTTTTTTTTTAACGAAATTAAGGGTTTCAATTTTATTTTTGTTCCATGATATATCAACAGCTGACCTAGCAGACGCCACCGCCAGTAACAACGTTCTTGGGTTGTCACACATATACTATGAAATACTCGCCGCTTGAAATACAGGGGCGGAATAACGGTACTATGAACCTCTAGAAAGGGGATCGTAAAGTAAAATAATTTCTCTTTGTTAGATTCCCCTCTCTCTTGCTTTCTATGCAGATCAATTTTACTAATTAAGGAAAATATTTCTTTATCCATAATTATCAGTTTTTCTTAATAGGAAAAGAAACATAGAAGGAAGAAAGCAATGTAAAACAAAAGAACAAAATAAATATATATACCATCTATAGAATAGATTACTATGGCACCATCTATGTTACCTTATTATATCTATAAGGTAATTTTGTTACAATGCAGAATAGATACTTCATGTGAAACACAATGCAATGAATGAAATTACATCCTTGTTTAGGAATGTAGATATCATTAACCGATGATACAAATGGTGTCACAATTGAAAGAGCTTAACATACCGGCCTGTATGTCTTTTTTTAATTTAATTTTAATATCTTTTTATTTGAACTTTTTATTTTAAACTCATCATAAAAAGTATATACAATAAAAACAGTTACTTTATGTCTACATTTATATGCACGTTTTTTCGTGTACTTGAAAATAAAATGTGCTTTCATAATCGATATAATTTACAACGTATTAGTTTCATTAAACGTTGATTGGTTGAAGATAAACTGTCGTTTCTTAAATTACAAGGAAAGAAAAATATGCTTGAATTATTTCATAAAGTTTGTCAAAAGTAATATTAAACGAAACGTGTGTTTTACCACGCCCATATGTATATATGATACTTAATGTATATATATATACATATACATATTATGTATATATATATATATATATATATTTATTAAACAACCAAAGTGCATTCTTTTTAATGCGATTAACCCTTTTTCTTACGAAAGCATTGAACTGCATGATACTATACTACGTGGAATATCACTAGTTCTTGCTCTCTCTTTTACATTTCTAGCCGTATTTAGATGTAGTAAAGTTTTCTACTCGAGAAAATTATTAACTGGTAGTAATCGATTAAAGTTAAATAATTATTGTGCATGATAATGTCCTATTTCCTAGAAAAAAAATTAATCGCGATGAATTGTTTAAAAAAGTATGTAAGTATTTTTAATAATAAAATAAGTAATATGCACTACCATTGGATTAGATTAATTTATAATCATTTATTGCTAGGTGTTAGTTAAAAAAAATTTAATTTTAGACTATTTTCGAATATATCAATGTATGTAACATATCCTAAACTTTATCTTGTAATGACTTCTTATTTTATTAACTAAAATTTACGTATAATAAACGTATATCAGTCAACTAGAGCATGTTGTTTGTCGAAAGTTGTGCTTTTTCAATCTGGATCAAGATGTAACGTTCTAGTTGGCAAGTAATCAGAGATTTATTTATTTTTATTACAGCATTATTAATTTAATGTATCTCTGTAGTAATGTAATAATTTAATTTGTCTTTAATCTCACATATTTTTCGAATGCAATCGATAGGTTATCTAAACATAACATTTACGATTTGCATATAAAATATAAAAGATTAACAAATACGAGATTGAATGTGAATTTATTATTCCCGACTTTCTTATTTAGAATAATATGCTGATATTGTACGATTTTTAATTCAATCTAATCATTTTTAAAAATATAACAGCAGTAAATAATATTAGCTACTTTTATCGTTCAAAATGCACAAAAAAATAAATATTTGTTTTTAATATTTAATCAAGTGTATTTAATTAAAAATTATTCCACTTTACCAAACATTAAAACAACACATTAAAAACATGATTTTCCCAACAATGTTGAGGTTTCATACATTTCACGATGTTATAAGTAAATAAAAAAAAGGATAATTTCTCGAATTACCTTCCAAAAATTGCCGCGAACTCAGCAACGAACTCTGGCGACGAATATCACTACTTGTAAAAATATCACTATTTAGGATCTTATGGGTTTTTAATGTGCGTATGTGATGGGCTACACTTTTCGGCAAATCAAGGCGGAATTTAATGCTTGATCGATGACAAATTTGTTATCAATGAGATAACTATCTTTAGATTTAATTCGGCGTTAACTAAATTAATAGAATAAATGACAAACGCGTATAAGAAGCTTCTTTCGCGTACTTCATTCGACTGTCGATGCGTGCATCGGTAACACACCGCGCTCTTAGTTTTTTTCTATCTTTTCTCTCACTTGCTCTTTTACTGTTGGAGAAGGAATAACGATGACGTAAAATCGGATGATCTGACGCGTCATGTATGTTGGATTTTATGTGCGCGCGCGACTACAAATTTGAACGGAAGAGATCGTCGTCCGATAAAATCAATCACTTTATTAACCTTTTGTATCATTTCATTAGGAATATTTTATCTGTTCAATATCCGACATTACTCATTACGTAGAAAGTACTTCATTGTTACAATGACGCAATAAGGAATACTTCTAGAGATTTTAATCATACTTTTTCTTTTCCCTATTCCGTCATTTAAACTCTCTTATTCTTTTTATTTTAATTATACAGATTTCCAATTATTCTTTTAAATCTTTCTATTATTTCCTTTTTTTTAATAATTGTATAAATTACTTTTTATTACTTAATTATTATCGATCTTATATGTTGTAAAATAACTTTGCCTGTTTTTTATTGTTTCATTTTTGTTTTCTTTAATAAAAGAATGTATTTATAAAAGTGCCTTCAGCAATTTATTCGTGAATATATTAAATAATCAATTAATGCAATTTTATTTATAATGTATGCTACTGGCGAAATGTATTCGTGTTGTTAATTTTAACATTAAAAAACTTTTTTTTTTGTATACTTAAAAATAAGCTTACTCATTTCATTATCATTTATTACCGATGGTTACAACATTTCCAAACTTTAAAGAAAAAAAATATTTTTAATCTCTTGTTTCTATTATAAGTATATATATTTATACTTTATGAGAAAGATTTAAAACTCATGCTAATTATATTATGTACATGTTAAATGTCCTCATTTTATACTAAGCAACAGGACAATCATACGTACAAACTTTTAATGAAAACGGATGGCAAATGTTATGTTCTTTTTGTTATCTCAATGATATTCCTATACAGTAATTAAATTATTAGAAATGAGATCTTTACAAGAACTGCTGTATATGTGTGAGTTATTGCACAGTTTGATATGACGCCAGCATCAAATCACGAAATATACATGTATAGGCATGTATACTCGTGTTGCACAGAACATATTTATGTATATGTGAATATATATGATCAGAATCGTATGTTTATAATTGTTGAACTGACCGTGTATATATTTGCAAAACGATACATCGTATCTCGAGAAAAGTTGCATAAATATGTAAACAAAATTGATATAGATTTAAATAATTTTTCGAATATTAATGTTAATTTTTACAAACGCACTATATTTCACCAAGTAATAGTTAATTTTTTTTGTGTAGAATTTGTGAAATCGAATGATGAAATGCAAGATGAAAATTAAGCTATCTATAAGTAAAACTTGCACTTTATAACACTTTAAATAATTCAAATGCAATGTTTACTCAAAAATAAAATCTTGATAATAATCGTCCGTATTTCTTTTTAATTTAGCTTTTGTAAGCTTCATTGATATAGTTGGTAGGGAAAAGAAACGAACGATTATAAAGCTGAAGTTTATTTTGACTTAATAATAACTTTAAAATAATCTCTATATAATAAGAATTATAGATATTTCATGCTTTCACTTTTTTTAAGTCCTTATTCTGTTATTGTTATGTAACGCATAAACAGTCTCCTTTATCGTTATTCGATAAATGTTACAATTTTTTATGCGTTTCATTAAAATCATTTACTGATCTACGTGAAATCATAATTAAGACAATATTTGTCATAAATTATTGATATTTGTAGTCAATTAGTTTGACCTCATATACTTGTTTGATATTCATATACTTTGTTGTATTTACACATAATCGTTTGATCATTATCGCTATTAATTATCGCACATTATAATAAAAAGAATGTTATCATTATGAGCGTTTACGTTAGAACTACTCACAAGTTTCTTCATGGTATATTTTCCATCGGAAATTTTAATGTAATATTGCATATTACAGGATTTATAGTATATAAATAAATAGCAACAAGAACAGGGAATTATTTAACACTATTTGTCACTCAGTCATTTTTTGCATAACGTCTCTTTTCACAATCCTTGTCAGTTTTCTTTTTTTAATCTGTACTAAAAGGAAACGTAATGTCTTAATAATGGTCATTTCTATTAAATAATTAAAAAATCAGAGAATCTAAGAAAAAAATAGAATAATAATATTAATGATAAAAAAATATAAGAGAAATAAAACACCATTAATTGATTATAAAATATACGCAGTGTTGTTTCTTAATTTTCAGTTATTAAAACGTAAAGACATGTCTTATGTAATTCATTTAAATATAACTTTTTAATTTTTTCTTAATGGAGTTAGATTTTGTAGCAGATCTAATTAATTGAACAATAACATTACGTTTCATTCAAAAGGCATTCGTATACAGTTACGTCCAACTTCAACACTGCAATATTATCAATGTTAGCATTAAATAACATTTACTGTACCTAAATTTAATAATAAAAATACCTAAATCACAATATTACAACATTATCTCAAAGCAATGTTTAATTGCTTTTGTAAATCTATCTGAATAGATATTTTCATAAGATGTATCGTTTTTTCTATCGAAAGAACCGACGTGCAGTTCCAGAACAATAGATGAAATAAAGAAGTATGCGAAATCGCAGTGACAAAAACATCATGTTTCTTATAATTACATTTGCATAACAAAACTGTTTAGTGTCCGTAAACACTATTTGATTTATAAAGCTACATTTTTCATATACAGATTCAGCATAACTCGACTCTCGATGTTCAGATAATTTTCCCAAAATTTTAATAGCTCTGTTTATCTCATTCAAGTTCTATTTCTCTTTCTTTTGTTTAGCGAAGAGTTTTAAGATTAGTGAAAGAAAATTCTGTGTATATATAATACATTTGATTAATATCGTTACCATCATGGAAGAGTATTATAAGAAATTTTATTTTTGTTTCTTTCAAATTCGTTAGTGCGAGTTCGTTCATAGTCATGACCTTTACATTAGTATATTACATGTGTATTATACTGCATTGCGGTCAGCAGTGAATAAAATTATCAATTTAACGATTTGATTTTGCAACAATCCCGAATACTAAAATTGATATCGTTAAAGAATTTGATAATGCAGAAATATACAATCAACAATAAGTAGATTATTAATAATACGTTAAACAGTAAATATAACTGTTTATTTGTTGATAGTTATTAGGCTGAAGAAAAAATCCCATACGTACAATCTAGCTACCTGAAATCTTGGTAATTTTCCCGTAATAAGGATACCTTAACGCGAGTATGATGTTTTTTTTAAATTAATATTCTTATTATTTTTTTTCTTTACACTAAAGTTTTTGAAATTTGACGATAAAAGCAGAGGGCTAATTGGTTGTCTGTGCATTGAGTGCTTCACTCAATGCCTGTTGTTGATCCGTCGTTAAAGCATTTATACATGCTTGAAACATAGATTCGTTGTTCTGAAATAATATTATGTTACGAAATTATTCTATTTATATATAAGTAAATTTTGTATTGTTAATATCAATGTGGTTACGTACCTGAATTTGTCTAACGATACCAAGAATCCTGGCCATAACGGGATCTTCTGTAGGCACAGCTGCTCTGTGAAGGGCTTCGGCGAAAAAACTTATTAATCTAGGGAGGTTTGAATTGTTGGGTCCTAAAACTAATACGTGATTAGCTTCAATCAAATCACATAGATATCCATAAACATGAGGAGCTTCATCTTCGTCCTCTACAACTGGCAGCCAAGACAGCCTAAAATGTAATAAGATTAATGCTATTAAAAATCTTTATTAATAATAAAATTTATTGATCATATAAAATGATATTCACCAGTGTGGAAGAATTTTGTCTACGTCAATGGCTGTGTTGTTATATTTTAGAATTTTTGTCACTGCTGATATAGCATTCTCTGTGGGATTAACATTTTCTGGTGATCTAGATTCTGGATCATTTATTACTTCCATTAACCTTGGTAACGCTTCAGCACATGCTTGAGCAAATGCTTCTCCTCCAAATTGACCTAAAACTCCACAACCATATGCTGCCGCTTGTCTAACTTCAGCAGATTTATCTGATACATATTGAATCATTGGCCGTAAAAAGAATTCTTGGTATTTTGCGCACTCAGGACCACCGAATTCTATTACATCATCAAATACACATAAAGCCCACTGATGGTCTGACCAAGGCCTATCAGGACTTAATAATTTTACAAAATGTCCACAAATTTGATCGAAACATACGAAAAATGATGATTTATGTGTTACAAAAAGAGCGTGTAAAATATCTGCAATTTTACTCAGAGTGTATGTGTCTTCATTATCTTCATCTTCAAGCTGTTCTTCGACTACTTCGTCGTAATCTTCATCTTTTCTTTTTTCTAATCGAGCTACTGCTCTTTCAAAATGTTCATTGAGTAATTTATTCAATAGACGTAAAAGTTCTGCCATAGGTTCGGTACCCAAACAACCAGCTCCTAATGTTTCTATACATTTGGCCAGAGAGTATAACAGTTCTAACAATACATCAGATTCTGGTTCCGTGTCAATAGCTTTTAACAATTCAGGACAAATGTAAGACCACATTCCTTCTAAATACTGTACTCCTTTGATTTTTGCACAATCAAGAAGGCATGGTAAACTTGATGCAGCTGCGATACGTACACCATCATGAAAATAGAATTTTAACATAGGAACCATAAGCCGCACTACCTCTTCAGCATAATCCGCAAATCCTTCTTTCAATTGACGAGCATAACAAACCAGCATTTCACATGCGGATGCTTTGTCTTCTAAACCAGCTGTTTTAATGCCAAAATTTTGTTGTTCTCCAAGAGAAACAAATTGCCAATCAACATCTCCTTCTATACTTTGCATGTCTTCATTATCTAACAATGCAACTTCTGGTTTCATTGCAGCAGTACGTAGTACAGGACCCATTACTAATGGCAAGTATTGTTCAAATTGTTTTCCAAGAATTTTACAAATGCGTACCCAAGCAGAAATTAAGTAACTTGTTTGAGGATCATCGTCGGGTAGATCTTCAGAATGTGTTTTTAATAACAATTCCATTATTTCATTAGCATCGGCAATGAATTTTTCTGGGCCAACAGCTACACCTATGAGACTGACACATTCTATTGTTTTTCCTCTTAACATTTTGAGCTCTGGTAAATTTGCATTTTGAATAATATATTTTAGACAAGGCATTAATCTGTCATAATAAGTAATAAACTGTTCTTCACATGTATCAGCGACAGAAGCAATAGTTGTTACAACTTGTTCTAAAACAAGTTTAGTACCCTTCTCAACTAATTCTTGAAACTTAGCAGAGAGTATGGATCCAAGCTTTGCCATAATAGCATCAAGGTACATAGTTAATACATTTTTTGCACAGTCTTCACTGAAATTAACAAGTGCAGCTCCTGCATGTGCCTGTACTCTAGGATTTGCATTATCATCTAATACCATAAGTAATCCAGGTATAACTTTATCGTGGAATTTTTTTTCGAATAAAGGAGCAAAGTCTGTTGACATTTGTCCTACTGCATTACAAGCAGCATATCTTACACGAGGATGCTAAAAAAAGAAATGATAAAAATTATACGTAAACAAAAATAATATAAAATATAACGTTTATTGTATTTTTGTACGTTTCAACACTATGATTATTTTTGTTTAAAAATAATCAGCTCTCAGAAACTTCAAAGCCAATATTATGAAAATCATGTTACTAAAACAGTACTATGAATACACATATCAACTTCTCTATTATTTTGCCAAAAATGTTTTAATAATCATTTTCAAAACTTTAATGAAGTTATTTGTCTTATTCATGGCTTTTTATTTTTGAGAATAATTAAAATCGTTCTTACAGGGTCTTGTAAATATTGTATAACACCCTCCATAATTTGTGGTAATATAGATTGCATTTGCTTGTGGCATCCCTCACCAACAGCAGATATAGCCATCAGTGCTGCGTGTCTAAATACAAAATATTTATTGTCAATAATTTAGCAAACTATATATAATATATACACAATACGAAGTAATAGTATAATGAAAATGTTTGTTCCAAAACTATGATGATAATTTGTTATTAACATCAACTCTCTTAGAAGGAACATGCAATGAGAGTCTCCACATTCTATCTATCAGAACGAAAGATAGAAATAAAAGTAATCTCATTGCTTACTCTGCCACAGACGTAACGCGATTACGCATATTAAATATATAACCGCTGACTATTCTGTGGCCTTTTTGTATGAAAGAGTAAATTTCTTTTTTTATTAATAATTATTTTAATATTTTATATTATATATATAATTATATTATATATATTATTAATTTATTATAAATTAATATTGAAATAAATTATAGATCTTACTTATTTACCTGTATTTCCAATCAGTGTTACTCAACATAGAAGGAATATTTTGCACTATAAGCGGCAGCATGGTTTTACCACCTAATCCACATGCTAATCTGTCTAAAGCACTTTCAGCTACTACATTATTACTGTCGTTATCTTCTTCTATAATTTCATCGGAGAAACTCCATTTATCATCCTCCTCTAAGTCTGTCATCATTTTTAAAACCAAGGGTACTAATGCTGTTATGTATTTTCCACCAACTTTACGAACCATTGCTGGTGCAGTTTCTGAAAGTGTTACTAAAACTTCGAGAGCTAATTGTCTCCAGGAATCTTCCATTTCTTCATTTGAAAAAATGTTCATACACATTTCCATGATATTCTCTAATTGATTTCTCAAAAATTTAGGTGTAGACTCAGCTAAGTCAATCAATACTTTTAATAAAGCATCATCAACTTGTTTTTCTACGGACTGAAGAGTTACTTGCACAACTACTGGTAAAAGTTCAGAAAAATGTTTCTGTATATGATCTTCTTTTTCGTGTAAAGTTATAAAAGCGCCTATTGCTCTTACTGCTTGGAATCTAACCTGTATGATCAAAAGATATATTTATTTTAGTGACAAAAAATATTTGTTTAATTATAATTATAGTTAAAAAATATTTTAATGAATAAGAATGTAAAAAATTAATATATGCATGTATGCCCCGTATCTGTCTGTAAATTAAAACTTCACAAGCTACAGTCATCAGAAGGCAAATTTTTGTAGGAAGACGTGTGACGAGAAATTTTTAATTTTTAGCATCTCGTGTAATCAATCTTCCAAGTTTGTATAAACTAATTATTTACCTCATAATTTGTATTATCCGTGACTGATTGTTGTAACATTTGCTTAATAAGATCAAGATAATTCGATTGTTGATTTCCAAATACACCAGGGACGGAACTGTAAGCAATATTTTTATTTTCTTTGGATTTTGGAAGTCTTAATTAAATCCAATTTAAAATTAAAAGTTGTTAACTTACGTAAACATTCTTAATGCACTTTCTTTTAATGCCGGTAAAGGACTATTAGCGCATTGGAACAGGAACTGCAAAAATTCTGGCCATTGATTGTTTCCATCTTCATCAATTAAATTACGAGCAACTTCGGCTGCAATTTCACATATTTTACGACGAATTGTTTCTGTTTGTTCATTTTGAACGTATAACAAGATTTGCTCTTTTAATTGTACTTGTGCCTCTGGAGGGATCTGAATGAAAATTATAATATCAATATTTTTATATAGAAATATATAACTTATTGATTTTTATTTTTAATATAAAGACAAAAATTATTCTATAAAGAGGGAAACCAATGATAAGAGAACAATTTAAGAGAATCATTAATATTTGTTGAACTTTTATATAATAAAATAAAATAAAATCTTTATTAACCGTTTAAGTACCGGAAGGTTTTCAAAAAACATGGTCTAAAACAGCTTAGCAGCGCAATACTATTCCATTAATTAAGTGAAAAAACCAAAGGTCACAATTGCGCTCCTTTAATTAATGGTTGACAATGGTCAAAAGCATGCCGTCAGTTGTCTTTATCGACGAAATATGCTTATTTTTTTCGACAAGAAATTACAAAAGCGCAAAAGTGGCCCGTAGTACTCAAACGGTTAAGAAAGTTAAGTTAAGATAACTATGGATAATATATTTATCATTGGCAATACTTGTTGGCACTAACTTCAAGCATAATATATAGTTTGCTTAAAACTATTTTAGTTAGTTTCTTTGACATAATTTATTCAACTAAATTTTTATGTGCCTATGATATACAGAAAGTTACATATTATAGATATGTAAAGAAATAATTAAATATTCTAATATACAGATATTCTTATGATTAGTACCTTAGAATAGAAGTCCATGAAATCAGATGAAAAAAGTCGGCGCAGTAGGACTGCAGCCATAGCACGCATTTCTTCTGTAAGGACATTGTTGCAAACCGATGTTAAAAGGAATGTTACCTTAGATTCCACCGGAAGATTGTTATATGCTTCCTAAAATTAATTCATTAAACAATTAAGTCTTTGTTGTATAATATCTTGATAATATTTATCAATTTGAGTATATATGATTTTTTTTATCAATTATAATACAACATAAACTATATCTATTAGAATAAACTTCATAATTGGAAATTTAAAAGATTATACAAAAATGTTATATAAATTGTGTTAAATAATATAATATTATGTATATTTGTTGTAATATAATATAGATATAGATTTTCTTTATTCAATAGTTTCAGTAAATAATACATCATTTTAAAATAAATATTGTTTGCCATTAAAGGATAAGGATCGATTATCAAGTCGCATGTGATTGAATTTGGAAATGAAAAAAGAATGATATAAATCATGCCAACGTATATGCATGTATATAAGAAAAATCCAATAAATTTTATAAAATGCACAAAAAACCAAGCATAAAAATTGCGCTTATACAAATTTAAATCGATATAATTTTTTATACGAAAAATTTTTAAATTCCGGAACTGGAAATAAAGGTGCATGTGGGAGGGAAGACACATTGGATGAATGCAATCCAACAAAAACTCCATGCTGTTTAGTATACTATATTTTTATTCGCATCATTGATTATTTATATTTAAAACAATATATAGCGAATTTGATCTTTCGGCACGTTCTTTGATTATTTCTTTTATAACCATGTTAAATTATATGAAAAAGTGAATAAATGGATTTAGCAAAGCACGCAGTGCCGCGCGCGACACCATTTTGGATTTTTATTAGCTTATTCCAAACACTTGTTAGCATTCATTCGAAAAGGTGATAATTCTTATTAACATCGATTTAAACATATAATTATTAAATGCGTATGAAATAACGGATTAAAATATAATAAACATGTGCAATAAAAATATAATGATTTGAGAAATCATTCATGCTAAGTTCTGACATGTTGGCAACGTGCTCCGAAGATAATCAGTGAATCATCGAAATTCTTATATTTTTCATGTTAGAAATGTATTCATTAGATTTATTTGAAAAATTAGATATTATGTACTAACCTCCGCTTGCGTTCGGGCATCATTATCTGCGCTGAGAAGTGTGTTTAAAATTTGTTGAAACTGTTCGAGATCTGCCGCCATTGTCGCCGAGCGAGTGAACGACGGCACGCTAACATGACTCGATCGTCATTTGAAAGTACCAAATGGACTATTAGAAATGTCCCTTCTTTCTACCAACATTAGAAAATTTAGAATCCATTGTGTCTTATGAAATACACATATTATTTGATTTTTCCTCTTGGTTAATAAACCATTTCATTGTTATTATTTTATTTATAAATGCATAAGATTTTCAGTAGTTATTAAATAATTATTTTTAATTATTTATAAAAATATATTATACTTTATTGAGTCAAAGATGAAAATATTTTATTTTTAAGGTTGGTACTATTGAGTTGATACTGTGTAAAATTTGTGATTGGAAAATTCGTATTATTACATTGTAATGCACCAATAAAAAGCAAAAAATAAAACGTAAATAGTAATTATTGATCAATAAATAAAATGTTAATTTTTTTTGTTTAAAAATAAATTTTGATAAATTTCATTCAAATAATATCCACATATTTATTTCAATTATATTTGTTAAATTGGTACTTTCTAACCTACAAACACGGAGATAGAGAATAAAGAGAACGATCACTATCAGTGATCCCAGAGACTTTAGTTCGTCTGATCGACACAGGAGCGTAAAATTATCGTACGCGCGGGAAAATTATTGTACGCTCCGGGAAAATTTGAAATCAGACAATTTGTCGGACGAGATTTTTAAAATGTGGAAAAAGTGTCCAAATTCCAACTTTTTCTCTTTGAGAGATTGAGAGATTGACTTGTTCCTACAGAGATCGTACACGGATCGTACACAGATCGTAGTGGTGGTGGTGGTGATGGTAGGGGTAGTGCTGCACCTTTCCAAAATTTGTTTACTA